AGTTAGGTTTCACTACCAGTTCTGGAATGATCTCACCCTCCACTCTGGAGCCAATCAGAGTAGATCCCTTTCGTATATAAGGAGAGGCACTGCCCCACTGACTTCAGACTCAGACGAAATCTCACGGCACGACTTGAGTCTTACTAATGAAGCACCGGCCAACTGCTGCACTCGGCTACCTGCTGCACCAGAGTCCCTTCAACCGCTGCAAAATCAACCACACACGGCCCCCGGACCTCAGTCAACGGTTCTCTCGGTCACGGACCACTACCAACGAGCCACCAAAAACTCCCAGTCACTGCACAGAATATTTCAGAGGTTTTGGGAGACGTCATATCGCCATCCATCGTTGTTCGAGAGACTGGCTCAACTTGAGGATATCCTAATTTAAAAAAAAACAATGTTTCTACCTCATATTCTAAAGCTCAAGTAAAAGTAAAATTCAATAAAATCACAATGGAAGTTCGAAACAGAAATTGTATTGATTGCTATCATATTTTGGATCATAGGAAAAATTCCAGTCCATGACAATTATAAAAGAAGTTTAAAATGGAACATACTACGGGTTGACATCATATGTATCGGCTTACAAGGGGAGACTAGAGTCGGGTGGGAACGCCGATTTCAGCGAAAAACATTTAGTGACACTAGGTCGAAAAGTATTAGCGATGCGTAAGAACGTTCCTGCCAATGTGCGGCATTGTAGGCAAGAAAAAATTAAATAATCTAGATTTTTAAATTATTAAATTCACTAATTTCGTGGTCCGCTTGACCAATTAATACATTACAATTAATTGAGGTTTTTAGTTGAGATGAAAAAAAGTTAATGGCACGAGCGGGATTCGAACCCACGATCTTCGGCTAGATACGCCGCTGCTCTACCACCTGAGCTATCGTGACCTCGATCCACTCGGACATCAACTCCCCATCTCAACCCCACCTTATAAAAAATGGAAAAAAGGAGGGAAAACTCATAAACTCATCCAATCCGATTACACGACATTTGAAAAATGGCAAAAAGGAGGGAAAATTCAAAAGGTGGGGTTGAGATGGGAAGTTAGTGTCCGACTGGATCGAGTGGTAGAGCAGTGGCGTATCTAGCCGAAGATCGTGGGTTCGAATCCCGCTCGTGCCATTGACTTTTTTATCTCAACTAAAAACCTTAATTAACTGTAATATATTAATTGGTCAAGCGGACCACGAAATTAGTGAATTTTAAAAATATACATTTTAGATGGATTCGTGAGGGAATTGTTTTTCTCGCCGATATCCGTTGTTCTATTAAAAATTTCATAGCCCGTTTAATTTTTTCAAATTTCAACGTTATTACACCCGTTAGAAAGCCGAATATCTTATCTTACAGCCTACATCAACAACGTTTAAATTTAATGCTCTTATAAATGAAAAAAAAATAAACATGAATTCAGCAAAAACTTCTTAAATCTTTTATTTTTGATCTAGGGTTCTAATTTTTTCACAGAGGCCAAATTTCTGCCATTAAGTGTAGGTTAAAGGGTCTAAACGCGTTAAGGGTTTTTGAAGTCCTGGACAACGAATGTCAATTTTTTTTGCGAAAAACATACTTGATTCCTAGTATCAGTAGTATATACTTTGTTTTAATTTGATAACACGTTTGGTTTCGAATTCCTTTTTCAATATCTATGTACATAGCAATAATGCTATGGTTAACTATCAAAAACAATTCTGAAGTATTGACCAAGAGACTTAGGACAGTAAGTGAAACTATTTTTTTTTAAATCCTACGTACAAAATACGAATTTTATGCACAATTTTACATGTTTATGTATATTTTATGTATATTTTCCAAGCAAAAATATATATAAATATATATACCTTTTTAAGCTGAGTGCAATTTTTTTCTCGCCGATGTCCGGATTCCTCTTGGACAACTTGTCTGGATTTTATCCACATTCAACTCATTTTCAATCATTTTTAAGTTTAAATTTCCTTCTTTGAGCCTTTATCAACAAGGATTTATTTTTATGTCATTATAAGTGAGAAAAATAAGGATGAAAAAAATAACAACCCATGCGTTTCATTTTATATGTGTGGTTATAATTACTTTACTGAGACTACAATAGGTTATTATTTGCCAATCATTTTGCTTGTACACAACAATTAGCAAATAATAAGCAAGATCGTTTAACGGTTAGGCAGCTGGATTGTTAATCTATTAGCGAATGACAATAACCTTAAGATTGTGTGAATATAAGTGAGAAAAATAAAATTGAAATGAATATCACCTCCAACGGTTCATTTTATATATCCGGCTCTAATTTATTTACGATGACGGGGTTTGTGCTATTACGTTGGCTTTGAGGGTTCTAAACTTCTGTAACATTTATTCTAGATTTGTTGAGTTATTTCAAAGTTATCGCCATTTTTATGATTTTCGAAAAAACAAATTGGAGGCAGTTGGAAGGTCAATAATTTGATAGATAAAATTATTTTTTGATTTTCCCCCACAAATAGTTTTCAGAGGTTTATCTTTTTTTTACTTGGAAATGATTTAATCTTTTAAATCTGTCAGTAGAACCATTATTTACGAAAAGATAATCTACAACTAACCCCACCTTCATCATTTCTTTGAGGTTTATAAGGGTGTGGAAAACAAATATAAACTTTGTTTCTTACTAATATAATATATTATTCTATTTTGCCACGTCGGTCACAAAATTCACATTGTTATGTTGTATTCAATAGAAAGGTCGACTTTGCTCGGTCGCAGAGTGATTCTTTTCCTGCCTTTGCAAAGCAGATATCACAGTAGGAAAGTAAGTAGGCAACATATTTTGGAACTTAGAAAAAAGTATAATATATAGAAATTACAAAAGAACTTCAAAATTAAAATTTTACTGTTTGTCATCATATTTTAGGACTTAAAGAAAAGAAAAATAAAATTTGTAAAACTACGATGGAGGTTCGGATCAAAATAGTATTTAACTTTACTAATTTCGTGGTCCGCTTGACCAATTAATATATTATAATTAATTAAGGTTTTTAGTTGAGATAAAAAAGTCAATGGCACGAGCGGGATTCGAACCGACGATCTTCTGCTTGATACGCCGCTGCTCTACCACCTCGATCCAGTCGGACACTTTGAATCACTCACCTTTTGAATTTTCCCTCCTTTTTGCCATTTTTCAAACGTCGTGTAATCGGATTGGATTCTCGACGACAAATGGCCACGGAGAGCTTTAGTGAAGTATACTTCATGGAAAAATGGCAAAAAGGAGGGAAAATTCAAAAGGTGCGGTTGAGATGGGAAGTAGGTGTCCGACTGGATCGAGGTCACGATAGCTCAAGTGGTAGAGCATCGGCGTATCAGCCGAAGATCGTGGGTTCGAATCCCGCTCGTGACACTAATATTCCATCTCAACCAAAAAACTTAGATGAAAAGAATAATTAATTGTATTCGAGCCCCTCGGACACCGTACCCATCTCAGCCTACCTCCGTTCCAATTTTCCCTCTTCTCGGTGTCCGATGGGGATCGAAGTCACGATAGCTCAAGTGGTTGGAGCAGCGGCGTATTGAGCCGAAGGTCATGGGTTCCAATCCCGCTCCAGACACTAATTTTCCATCTCAACCAAAACCTTAGATAAAAACAATAATTAATTGGAATAATTAATACGGTCAATTATGACCACTAAGCAAATATGGTATTTATTTTATATAAACAGATATCGAAGTAGGAAAGTAAGTCCGAATCATATTTTGGAACTTAGAAAAAAGTATAATTATTCAGAAATCGTATCGATTTCTGAATAATTACCGATTAACGGTCACTAATCACCACGCATTTCTACACGAAAAAGTGTAATATATGGAAATTATAAAAGAAGTTCAAAATTAAAATTTTACTGTTTGTCATCATATATTAGGACTTATTATTCGGCAAAACTACGATGTACGTTCGAATCGAAAATTATATTTATCATCATATTTGGAGTGGTCGATACCTGGCCGGTATCCAAAAAAACAAAACAAAAACACCATATTCTGATAACTTAGAAAATAAATCATGAAAAATAAAAAAGTAAGTTCAAAACATAAATTATTTAGTATTTAATAAGAATTTATTAACTTGATATTTTAGATCTTCCGAAAAATTGCCCAGGAAATTCAAAACAAAAGGCTTTATTACTGCATGTTATTTTATTTATAGCTTAAGAAAGACAAAAATTTGGGATAGTTATGGTAGTATATATATATATATATATATATATAATTTAAAGAGGACGTATACAATTTGTAGAACAATAGGAGCAATTAATAGGAATTCAAATGGTGAGAACTACATGCTCAAATAGAAAATATTGGATGATTTATTGTTTTATATATTAAAAATGTATTACGCTAAATACTTTTTTTTTCTAAATGGAAAAATATTTTCACATAATAAAAGTTGTTTCATATTTTCTCTGTGTAATATACGACCACAAATAAATGAATTGGAAAATCAATGGTATCATAGAATGATACGATAAATTTGATTTTAAAGCTACATGCCCTTTCTTACTTGATTCTTTTGTTAAACATTTCTTCAATTAAGGCCCGCCAATCAATTGATCAAATATCAACAAAAAGGCGGATAATCGGTCTCGATAACAGAAAGCCTATTATTCCGAAACAAAAGTTGATGTGCAGTGAAAATAATGAGTCACGTCAAATTCCAAAGAAGTGATGTATGATATTTTCAGGTTCACAACAAAACAGACTGTATAAATGAATAGACTGTAAACAAAACTGTGTGTGGGAAAATGTCTTGTATGAGCTGTCCCACACAGGATCGTTGGGTCAAAATTCTCTCTTGAGATAGGGTCATGAAGAAAATTCTATCCGAGCTCGACAATTTATTCAGGATAGGATTTAAGAGAAAAAACAAATTCGATGAAAGAAACATGACGATTTTCACCAGGAGACGGGATAATGTGAGAGAAGAAAAAAACGAAAACAATCTGGGTATGGATGAACTCACGATCGGCTGTGGTGCCGCGGGTCGGAAGAGAATGTCGTCGATTAGAAATGAAGTCCTCCTCGGCCAACAGTCCTGAATGGGATGTTTCTCTTGGTGATGTGCAGCCATGACTGAGAATGTGAGAAATTTCCTTCCGACGGCCCCCCGACCATTGGACTGAGTGACTGGATTGGCCCATCGATCTCTCCAACCCTTCGCCCCATTGGCTCCCCACCATCAATCTCGGAAACACCCTGATATGATAATCACCCCCTCTCTATCACTCAACCCCCTGTCCAACCCCTTACAAACCCCTGTTAGCCCTTAAATTAAACTTTATCCCCAGTATTCCCCGTTTTAAATCGCCGACCATTAGTACCTTATTAAGGGTTAATTCCTTGCCGGGAAATCCTTCCCTACTGGAAATAGTTGGATGAAAACCGCAGATTTTTGCAACTGCTCCCATTTTCTCTGGTCGAAATAGTCTTCCGACTTACTGATTAAATCCTCCATGATACTAAACTGCTCAAAAATGAATAGGGATATTGTCAATATTATAGTATTTACTTTCCCCAACATTTTTATTTTATTTTTATTATAAATGCATTAAAATTTACTAGAAATTATTATTTATTTAGAAATCGTGAGATGCGGTCTGGTGTGATGTAGGTTTCAGAAAAACATTTTCTTTACCGTGCCAACGTTTCTATCTTTATTGAGATCATCTTCAGGGCTCAAAGTATTTATCTTCTGTGTAATTTGCCATTCTTGCGTGTCGTGTCGAGAGTGCCCTCGGGCTTTCTAAATAAATATCGATTAACGGTCACTAATCACCACACAGAAATTTATATGTTTTTACTGAAGGAAAATTGTAGTTAAGGGATTTTGAAAAATAACAAAATAAAGGTTTTAATGCCATAATTTTGTTTATTGGACATAATAATTTGTTTAAACAATTATTACACCGTGTATAATGTCCTCTGTTAGCTAAAACCTCTGTGCACTTGTTACGCATACGTATGGTGTTGTCACTAACGTCATATGGAATTTTATTCCATACATGTTGTAACGCTGCACTGAGTTGTTCAGGTCAACTGGCTTCGGATGGTGATCGAAAAGCCATCTCGCAACGCATCCCACATGTGCTCAATGGAATGGAGATCTGGAGACAATGAGGGAAGGGGCAGATGGGAAATTCCCAGGTTTTCTAAACACTGATTAACAACCCTACCTCTATGTGGACTGGCACTGTCGTCCACAAAGAGATACCTGGTTTGAGGGATACATCTTTCGATAATTCCTTGGACATAACGAACTGCGGTGAGGTTGCCTTGAACAATATGGAGTCCGTTTCATCCTCCAGTGTAAATCCCAGGCTAGATCCAAACTGCACTGAAGGGAGCACGAACTGGGGCATTGTATCCCCTGTGAGGTTGTAAACCCTTCAGCGCCTGAAACGCGACTCATCAGTAGCAGCATTCTAGGCGCTCGCTGCACCATATTCTCCTGAGTTATTGGTGGGGGCTGTTGCTGCAGGTCGTCTCAAAGAGACATACGATGTGAGGGCAACTTACCACAAACGATTACGAATAGTATGTGTTGATAAAGGCTTTGCCAAAACATCTTGTTATCTGGCGGACATTTTGGAAGGGGTTCCGTCTTGCAGTAATGACAATGTTTCTGTCCTTATGGTTTATGTTGATGTCTTTCCATGGTTAAAGATATACAACTAGATTAAAACGGAGAAAAGACAAGAAAAGTTGTTTGTTTACAAATGAGTAAATTTCATGTTTACCATTCTTAAGTAATTTCGTTATTAAAACTGAGGATTAACATTTGTTTGTTTTTGGTACGTATTTTCTATTTTGTTTTATCCAACTAACAAGAATAAATTCAATTAAAATTAATATAATAAGAATAAATTAAAAATATCCTATTCATTTTTGAGCAGTTTACATATTTATTTGTAGCCTACACAGATTTGTTATCACTGTACGTTTTTCGTATCTCAAGGTGACAGCACTAGCACTAATGCCAGCGTTGCCCCCGGAGGACACATGCTACGACTAGCAAGCCAATGCTGGCACTCAGGGTGAGGGGATTAAAGGCAAGGATGTCCCAAGGCGACGTGGAGGATTCTCGGGATGGTAATGTGTAGAGAGGTTGGTGTAAAACTTTTCTAACCGGGAACGCATCAGTTTGTTTACAAAAGGAATGTTGAAGTCGTTGTAGATAGTGAGGCTGTAGACGTAATAAGGAACTTTGACTATTTGTCTGGACTTTTGATTGGAAGGATTGGATGCGCAGGATGTTGGATGGCTTGGTAGAACCCCACAGTTCCATTCCGTATTTCCAAAGTGGTCGCAGTAACTTCTTGTATGAGGTTATTTTAATGTCGACGGTCAAGTCGGATTTCAATCCTAGAAGTCTTCGTAGTTGTCCAAGTCTTATGTTAAGTTGTTGTCTTTTAAATGGACGGGGATGGAGATTCCTCGTCAGTCTGCTGTCTAGGTATAGTCTTAGATATTTGATTTGAGTGGAAATCGGTATATCTTTGTTTTTGAAGTAAGATGGAGGAGAATACTGCTTTTTAAATGTGAACGTACACCCAGTACATTTTTCTTCATTCAGTCTTGTCCTCTACATTTTGAACTAGTCTTCGATACTCTCAAGGTGTCCTTGCATGTTGGAGGTAGCATGGGTAGGATTAGAGTTACAGGATTGAATTGCGGTATCGTCCGCATAGATTATGTTGATGCTATTGGGGTGTGCAGGTAGGCCAGCGGGTACAGGTGAGATAAAGGATGGGACCAAAAATGCTCCCTTATGGGACGCCGGCTTGGATCGATCCGATTTCCGAGAACTCGTTGCCACACCTTACTCTAAGCAGCGGTCTGTTAGGTAGAATTTCAGGATAACATAATAAGAAGGGGTAGGAAGCGTTTAAGTTTAGTAAAATTAGATATTAGTTTTTTGCATACGCAAACAAAAAGTTGACTTAAACTAAAAGTTTTGGAATCATCATAAAATTGAACAATATCAAATCTAGGATGTATAGTGTTATATTTATAACAAAGTGATAAATAATAATAATTTATTCACCACATTTTCACCTGCATTACACCATAAAATAATTGTGTGAAAACGAAACTTCTGGTATAGGGCAAAATAAACCATTTCAAAGAAGACTTATCAAAAATATTAAGTTAATATATACTGATTTCTAATTTTGTTAATTAACATCTCAATACGAAACTGAAATTGTAAATTACAGTCAAAACATACACCAGTTCATCAAAATTGTTTCCGCTAAAAAATGACATACCACCATTAAAAAAATACCATTGATGTACAATATAAAAGCATTGGTCCTAGAACGGTTTCCTAAGCCACACCACATCTTACGTCAACCGACACTCCCATAGAATCATAAATCTTTACAACTCGAAATCTTCCATTTAAATAAGAGATAATATGCCTATAATACCATAGTTTTGCTAACAAGCCATGACTGATGAAACTAAATGGTCTCATTAAACAAAAAAGGTCTATTCTAATGTATATGTGTAATAGCTTTTATCCTGGCTACATCTTCACGATAAATTTAATTTTGTACTGATTAACTATTATTACCTGATAGCGTTTTTATAATTATTTAAAATTTTATATAGTGCTGTTATATTGTAATAGGGGAAACGAAAAGGAGCATGATACATCACACACATTGTTCTGCTGTCTTGCAAAATGTATTTTTCCCCTTAGAACCGCCTAGAAAACTAATCCGAGCTAAGAACTATTTATGTTTTTTGTTTTTATGAAGTTTTCATTGCCGCGAAAGTTCTCCAGACAAATTTGGTATTTAAATAATTTATTTCGTATAGTTATCAAAGGAAAAAACATAAAAAGTATATTTTTGGTATATAGTTACTTTTTAGGCTTTGTACAACTTTATTTGTACAGGGCAAAATAAGTTAAATATTTAGAAAATAATATATCGTATTACAAATGTATTCAGCTGAGAAATATTAACATATTTTCTTATTACATAATTGAGAACAATCGTAAACAGATTTTTTTTGTTCATGCATTATAAGTACATGTCATTAATTTCCTTGATATATTTGTTAGTGTCCAACATGGAACTAATCAAAACGTCGTATGCAACCACAGTAAAAAGAAGATGAATACCTCTACAAATTGGATGTACAAGGATAAAGTGGGAGATGGGTGGAAATGCACAGAATGTAAGTCAAGGGTGGAAGCTAAAATAAAGAATATAGTTGAATTTAGATCATAGCAGTGTTTGCTATTAAGATTAAGGGTGGGCAGTATAAAGATAAATATACGAATAAGGTTTGCTAATGATTATTTCAACGAATTAAATTGTCCTCTTACAATAAAAAGATAATAAAATGTGACGATGATTTGTGAGATCTAAATGGCATTGTAGATCTAGATGACACCGATTAAAACAACTCGGAAAGTAATAATTTTTAATTTTTGTAATAATATATTTTTTGTTAACAAGAGAAATCGTAGTATTTACAAACAACAACATACAGCGAATACATTTAGAAACACTTGTTTGACGTCGATTGTTTCATTCTAAATAAATTATAATTAAAATAATTTATAATATTATAAATAAATTAATAATAATAAATGCTAAATTAATAATACATCTGCTGTATTTGTAATATATCTACTTTTTTTTTATCACAAATTTTATATGGTGAGATTTCTCAGTATAATCGGTTGGTTAATGAACTTTCATGGTTGTTACCCATCATCCTAGTTTTCTATCCCAGGTGCGTTGGTTTGATTGTTTATAACATATTTCTCACATAAATTTCTACTCCCAAGAACTTTAATTATAAAAAATAAAAAATAAATAACACTTGAAACTGCAAGTTCAGGCAGCATCAAACTGGTCGATAGTACGGCTAAAGCGTCAGGTCTAATTCCATGTTCTTGAGACTAAGAATATCCTTCTGTATTTTTGGTTTCTTCAGGTTTTGGCCTTCAAATTTACCTTCTAAGCCAAGGGTTTGATAATGTAATGCTGTTATTTTCGTACATGGAGAGACCCTATCAAGGAATGGGGGGGGGGGTAGTATAGAGTGAAGTTTTAAGTCCATTATTATTTCCCTGTCCTTTTCCGGCTTCACCTTTCCACTATCTCTATCGGAATACCGTTAA